CACCAGCAAGTGAATGAACAATAATAACAAATATAGAAGCCTGGGAAGTAAATTCTTACACACACACACAGGCACATACGAATATGCACACACCTTCTTGAGACAGGACTTCATGTAGCCCAGGCTGACCTTGAATTTGCTGTGTGGCTGACAGTGTCCTGGACCTTCTGCTTCTCCTGCCTCCACACCTCCAGTGCAGGATCACAAGTGTGCACTGTGGCAGCACTGTGAGACCTGGCTTGAGTGAGGACCCTCTAGTGACATGCCACCACTTAGGGTCCTTATGATTTGGTTCATGAGATTGGATAGCAGTCTGTTAGTCCATTTTATGTTGCTCTAACGACATACCAGGATGTGGGTGCTAAATTACAAATAGTTTCTTTAGCTCACAGCTCTGGAGGTTGCAGGGCATGGCACTGGCATCCCAGTAAGGACTTCCTCACTGTCACCATGGTGAAGACGTGCAACGGGCATCAGGGATGTGCAGGCGATCCAGGTGTGTGAGTGGCCTCACTTTCTTACAGCCCACGCTCAAGAGAACTTGCTCATTCTTGAGACCAATATTCATCCCTGATAAGGAATCCCCAGTCTCCTCCCTCGGGTTCCATCCCTTAAAGATTCCTCCTCCTCACCATTCTCACCATTTCCCCCATGGAGAATCCACGGGAATTACAACCCTGTGAAATGGCCATGAGCCACTTCTGTACTAGACTCACCTACAAACCACAGGAGGTGAGCTGGGGATCACTGTGGCTAAACCTCACAGGTCTGGCATCCAATCATCCCCAGTGTTAGCAGTGCTCAGAAACTTCCAGCAGTGACACTCCCAGGCAGGTCTCCATGGCTCCTGTATGCATTATTCCTGACTGACATCAAGTGAGACAGAGCAGGTCCCCATCATGTTTTCAATTTTTTTCAAAGAGTGCTATGGAACAAAGTTGAATGTTTTTCAGAAAAGAACAAAACGTCATGTGTTCAAAAGATTGTTTTCAAAGAGAAAACATGAGCTAGGGATTGTTTTGGGGGTGGGTGGTTTTGTATATTTTGAGCAGCAGGTGATGAAATCTAAGACTTCATACATTCTATGTCAGTGCCCTACCATGGAGCTGCATAATAGCTCCAGATTCCAATTTTTTCTAGGAAAGTGCAAAAAACCAAAACATACTTCCTCAGAGCTGTGGGTTCTAGTGAACTTATTTTCTCGACCATTTCAGACATTACTATAATTGTCAAAGGTAGGAAATGAAGAACATATAGTATATGGATAGATCGTTTTCTGACAGGTGGTTGTACTTCTAATTGTTTTTCATTCATTGTGTGTATGGCATTGTGTGAGTACACATGCGTGCTTCTCTGTATGTGTACCATGTGTGTGCAGTGCCCACAGATGCCAGAAGAGGGCGCTGGATGCCCTGGAGCCAGAGTTACAGGTGGTTGTGAGCCCAGGTCCTTTACGAGAGCAACAGGTGCTCTTAATCTCTCCAGCCTCTGTTTGCCTATGTCTTATGGGTGCACTTTGTAACTATATTCTTCCCTATTTGTGTATTCTTGTAGTTTTGAATAAGAAAATCTTCTATAGGGCTGACAAGAATGCTCAGTAGGTAAAGGTGCTTGCCTCCAAACCTTTTCATCTGTGCTCCATGTACCCAATCCCTGGGACATGAATCACTTCTTAAAGGGCCTTCGCCTCACTCTTGCATAGAGAATGCAAAACTTTGACACCCCTCTATAAAGGGATCACTCATGCTTTATGGTTTAAAAAAATACAAATTTGAGGCCTGATATGGAAAGTTAGATCTGCAATAAGAAAAAAATCTGGATTAATCAATCATGAAATATCAGAGGAATTGTTATTAACTTCCTAAAATGATTCACAAAGCCCCTCCCTGAAAACGACAACTCCACATGGAAGCATGTGTGTATGTATACATGTCTGGTGGCTAATCTGAGTATGCAATAGTCAAAAGCATACTCTTGTGTTTTTGCTAGCCATCACTTGTTTTCTGAGAATCTGAAAGAACTGTCTGATTACACGGATGGCTGTCAGTCACCACAGGGCATCAGTTACAGAGGACATTGTTTTCTGTCCAAAGCATAAGCAAACAGATTGAGGAAATTAAGAAAAAAAACAATTAAGCAAGAATAGAAAGAGACTCAGCTGCTTAGGAATCTAGGCTACCTTCTGTCTGGAAGTCCTTCCTTCCATTTGGACGTCCTTCCTCCAGGGCCCACTGCTCCTGGCTCCTGAACCATCTAGAGACTGCTTGTGTCTTGTCAAGGCCCAGAGAAAGCTCTGCTGAGATCTTTCTGGTTGTCCCAGCACCTGCTGTCTTCCTTTCCTCTTTACATCAGTCAAGTGACCCCGCAAGTGAACCCATGTGCAAACCACCCAGAGAACATCCAGAGGTCTGGAGCAGGGCATCCAGCTGCTACAGATGCTGGCTATGGAGTCCAGTGTGAGAAAATCGTGCTCTAGGTCAGGGTTTGTTTTTAACTCGAAGGTGGAAGCAGGCATCCTGGAGTCTTGCTAAAATCACTGTACCTAATCAGTCACCTGGCCAGTGGTTCTTGGGAAGTGGAGGAGGGGGGCATACCTCAGAAGTGTATTAGGATATATCTGGACATTTTCAGTTGTAAAATGATATGAGTGTGTATGCACACACACACACACACTGTTGATTGCTATTGTCACTGATAAACTGAGACCAGAGATTCCTTGAAACATTCTACAATGCAATAGGTGGCCTCAGGACCAAGAAATGCCCGCTCCATGAAATCCTAATCTAAACCAACCGTTTTAGAGGCCATGACCATTTACACTTGCGTGGAGACTATAGTTTTTTTTTTTTTTTTTTTTTTTTTTTTTTTTTTTTTTTTTTTTTTTTTTTTTTTTTTTTTTTTTTTTTTTTTTTTTTTAACAAATGATTCTGTCTACACAAACACCGCCACCTCCCCACCACTTCCCAATGCCCCGCTCTGTGTTTACTACACAGTGGGTGCCCAGGAAAAGCTGTTTCTAGTCAACACTTGGATCATTTCAACTCCAGGGTCTCGGTGCTCACTGTACAGTGGAATGACCTGGGGGTTATAAAGCGCTGGGGGCAGATTCTGACTTCGTTGTTCAGTACTCAGACCTGAGGGTGTAACCTTCGTACGGAGAGCCTGTTAAGCTTCTCGGGTGGATCCAGTGAGCAGAGGAGGCTGGCAGCCCCTGCAAACCAGCCCTGCTGGTCACTAATCCAGAGCAGAAGCGGCAGTGAGAGCAGATTGTTGTACTTAGGAGAAAGCCTGCACCGAAGGAAGTTAGGTTCGTGCATGCCACTTGTGCCTTGTGCCACCGTGAGTTGCGCATTATGTATAATGTACTAGGAACAAAAAGCTGAGAAGTTGCTCACCTGAAATGCCACCCCTGGTTACAGCAAGTCTCACCCCACCAGACAGCTTCTCTCTATTAGACCCTTACTCTAGTTCTTCTTTTTCTTTTTCTGGTTTTTTTTTGAGACAAGGTTTCTTTGTAGCTTTGGTGCCTGTCCTGGAACTAGCTCTTGTAGACCAGACCAGGCTGGCCTCAAACTCACAGAGATCTACCTGTCTCTGCCTCGCAGAGATTAAAGCCATGGGCCACCCCACCCGTCCGGCTCCCCTTTCCTACATTTCTAATGGACCCTTCTGGACAAGTCTGTTGTCTCTTTGCCAGCCCTCACTTCTGTGACCCTACCTCCTCTACAGTCACATCTACCCCCAGAAGGCCTCTGTTCTCTGCCCCATAGCTGGAAAGTCAACAGCAGGCCAGGAGCTAAGGACCTGGTCTGCAGCTCAAAGCCCTATTAACAGAAGCCAGGCAGAGAGAGAAAGCAAGCAGTCCAAGGATGCGGGGAAAGAGAGGAAGAGGGGAGCCCCATTGCTTTTTGGTGAGGAATTCTGCTCAAATAAGATGGGGAAGTGTGGCTGAGGTTGGGAGCCTTTGTGCAGCTGCACACAGGTGTCAGGGCCGTTGCTCATTAGCACTGGCCTAGAACTCAGCAAACAATGTTCTACGCTAGGCTCCAGAACCCACAGCGTTTAAGACAGTGGCTGTGTTGTCACACTCGTGAGTACCCTCAGCAACTCTCTTCTGCTCCTGCAACTCTTTTCCTCCCCTGCTCTACAGCAGACAGCGGGTTAGCGAGCCACTGTGGTGGGTGGACCCAGGACGTTTCCAACTTTACCTTAAAACGGAGCTATTAACAAACAAAATTTGATGCTACGTTTTGCACCTTAAACACACACACACACACAGAGAAGAGTGGGGATGCCCAATCCCGATGAGATGAAGTTTTCCTTAGGCTGCTCAAGGTGCTATGCATCTACATTTGAAAGGAAACGTGACAGATAACCGTAGTTGTTCTTAACCTTTAATCCAGTACTGAGCCAGACAAAAGACAGGCACTCAGAGATCTCGTGGGGGGGGGGGGCATTATCACAGGCACTAACCACAGACAAGCTAAATCCCAACAGCAGAAACACTTGGTCAAATTAGGGTGTGTCAACAGAAACCCATGTGAAGACCCACTACAGAGAATATTTGGGAAATTAAGTAAAAACTAAATGCTGTAATCAACTGGGACTGTGCTCAGCTGCAAGTAGTAATCTGACCACGGTAGTGCCAACACGAGGAGGTTATTTTCTCATAAAATAAGAAGTCTGGTTTGTAATGTTGGCCAAGGACCAATGGCTCTGCCATTCTCTTGAGAGCTCCATCTTGGCCACAGAAAACTCTAGCCATTGTGTCTAGGTGCCACAAAAAGAGGAGAAGCAAGGGATGCTGGTGGTAAGGCTCTCCCAGAGCCCCCCTGCGGACCCTTTTGTCCTGCCTTGCCTGGGTACCAGGTAAAACCCACCCCCAACTGTAAGGGAAAACAGGCAACAGGATAAGCTAAGCAATTTGCCAGCTTGGGTTCATCTGTTGGGGCTGGGCACATTGCCATTGCAACAAAATCAGACAAGAGGCCAGCCCCACGGGTCTTGGTGAGGTGGGTGACTCTCCAAGATGAGAGACAAGCCAATTTGGGAGCAGATTGGATCCAGCTTTATTCAGCATTACTACCAATTATTTGATAACGAGAGAACCCAACTAGGAGCAGTTTACATTGATGCATCATGCCTCACGTGGGAAGGACAGCAGTTCCAGGGGAAAGCTGCCATTGTGGAGAAGTTGTCTAGCCTTCCGTTCCAGAAAATCCAGCAGAGTATCACGGCGCAGGACCATCAGCCTACACCAGATAGCTGTATCATCAGCATGGTTGTAGGCCAGCTCAAGGCTGATGAAGATCCCATCATGGGTTTCCACCAGATGTTTCCATTAAAGAACTTCAATGACGCTTTGGTTTGCACCAATGACATGTTCAGGCTTGCCCTGCACAAATTCGGCTGACCTCCTGGCCAGACACTCACGCTGTTTCCTCCTCCCTCCTCTTCCCAAGACTATCTCACTCCTCCAGATGCTCCAAATATCATACACAAATGAGCAGGGCCGAGGAGGGAGTGGGTGCAGTGTGCTTCTGTCACCACGGTGTTGTGCATGATGTTTGGATGCTAGACTAGTTGCATCTGACAGGAGACATTTGTGTTGTACCAGCGCATGCCTTGGAAAGACTTAAGTAATGCAAAAGACTGTTGGTTTTTGTTTTATTTCGTTTTTTAATCTACTGACAAGTTGCTTTAGTAACCCAAAGAAGTGAAGGAGAAAGCAGCTGCCTCACCACCCAGATATTGATTTGTTCAGATGTTTCAATGCCTCATGACACAATAAAACCACAAAAATTTTCTTAACAGTTAAAAAAAAAATCAGACAAGAAAGAAGGGCTGGGATTATAAGAACAATCACGTTTCTCAAAAGACAAGACTAGGTTACAGTTCAGATTCTGGAGTGTGTGTCCCCAAAGTCTTGGTCATCAGCCTGTGGTATTATGGGCAGGTAGTAGAGACACCAGAAAGTGGGGACATAATAGGAAGAGGTTAGATCGTTGGGGATGCGTTCTTGAGGATACATTGGAACTCTCTCTCCCTCTCTCTCTTTCCTCTGTTCTCTCTCTCTCTCTTTCTCCCTCCTTCCTTCCTTCCTTCCTTCCTCCCTTCCTTCCTTCTCAGTACCATGATATGAAACAGCTTTTTCTTTACCACACACTCCCAGCTAGATATTATGCCTAGTTGTGTACCCCAAATCCATGGAGCCAATTACAGACCAAAACTTTGGAAACCATTAACCACAATAAATCTTCACTTGGTTTTATCCAAGATGTTTTGCCATACAGGTGCAAGCTGACTGGCCCAGACCCCTATGATCACAACTGTGCCAACCTACGTATGCATCCAAATGAGGTTTGGTCAGGGAGAAAGATGCTTCATAAATTTGCTGTAGTGTAGGATAGACTGTTTCCACCATATTTTCTATGGTGTTTCCACTATAGCTCCTAAAAAAGGAAGCAGGTCTTTGGTTTGGAATCAAACACACCGGGGGCGGGGGATACATGTTCAACATTACCAAAAAAAAGTTTCATTTCCTAAAGCTAGTGGCTGATTCCTCCCTCCCCCGAGAGGTAGCTCTTCTTTTCGACCTGAAATGGCTAATTATATTTGCCCTCCAGATCCTCTTTCTGCACTTGTGGCTCTTTAACCTTAGACTTCCCACTTGCAAATGTTCTATTCTTGTTCTGCAGGCTGGTGGTCAAACTCCCATCTTAACATCTGCCTCTCTCTTGCCACAGAGTGCAGATGTGAAGATGTTTGTCACCCTTAGTGTAGGTGAGACAGGTCTCTGGGGAGCTGCAGACAGAAGCCCCGCTAGTCCCTGGTCAAGACTTTTGCTGTAGATGATGTTTGTTTTGTTTTGTTTTGTTTTCTGTTCTGTTCTGTTTTGTGTTTGAGGCTGGTTCTCAATACATAGCCCTGGCTGACCCAGAACTCACTATGTAGATCAGTCTGGCTTTGAACCCACAGAGATCTGCCTGACTCTGCCTCCCCCGTGCTGGGATTAAAGAGGTGTGCCAAGCAAGTCCAGCTGCAGCCAAAAGTGTTGAGGAAATTCCTTCTTTGGTTAGGGGACCAGCTAAGTGATCCTAGAATTTTTTCTAATTCAAAGTCTTCACTCCTACAGGTTGAGGTGGCTGCCACTTAAACACAAATTCAAGCAAATACAGAAAGGTTTTTTTTTTCTCCATTGATACTGAAGGATAGTTCTAAAATTCAATTTGAGGACCTTATCTTTCTTTAAATATCTGGGCTGCAGGCCTTGGAAGGTATCCCAGTCAGAAAATTATTTGCCTTGCAAGCCTGAGGACTTAGGTAAGGTGGTGTGTGCCTATAATTTCCTGGGAAGGTGGACACAGGTGGATCCCTGGGGCTCATTAGCCTTTCAGCCCACCCAGCGTGGTTGGCAAGCTCTCCAAGTGAAAAACCAGTGGCTTCACACACGCATGCATATGTGCACCCAACACACAGACACACAGACAGACAGGCACAGAGAGGGGGGGGAGGGAGGGAGGGAGGGAGGGAGGGAGGGGGAGAGGGAAAGAGGGAGAATTTGTCTGAGTTTTGGGGTGTCAAGTCTGTGGATGAATAAAAGCATTCAGAGGCTCAGCATTTGACTTGATAAACTCAAGACAGCACAGGGAAACAGCAACCCTCACCCTGATACAGTAGGTGAAGCCTGCTTCTTGCTCTGCCTCCCCACTCCTCCAGGCTCTGCTTTCCCATTGGGTGGTACCTGATGAGACCCCGTCCTTGCAAGCCCTCTCTTTACTCCTGACAGCCGTCTGCTCATCTTACATGCCTTCCTCCATAGGCAGCCTAAGTACCTATCTCCCAGGCTTTTAGAATTCCAGTTTCTTCCTCTTGACATCTAGCTAAGGTGAAAATAATTAATCCGCGCTGCACAGCTGTTCCTCGGTTCAGAACAACCCACGGGCCTGGAAACTGTCTTCCGGAATTAATTCCTTCAGATGGAGGTGCAGAGATGAGAATCCCGAGTCTGCTCTGCTCCCAACTAAGGTAGCAGAGAGGGAAGACTATCTCCTGACGTCTCACTCTCCCCAGTTCTGAGGTGCTGACAGCTACCTTTCCCTGGAGGACTGACTACATCTGCCCTCCTCTGGAGGGTCGCATCTGCGGGTGTTTTCAAATAATGACCTTGGCCTGCCGGTGTTTTGGCTGGTTCACGGGAAGTTTAAACTTGAGCTATTGCCATTGTTTTAAAATTATGGGATTTCACCTGTAAATCCAGATCTCAGGAGTCTCTTGAAGAAGTGGCGGGCTCAGACCAGCATTTCTGTGAGATGCCTCCAGTGGAACGGAGATTAACGTGGGATAGAAACTAATCTCTCTGTTATTGTTGGCTGATTGGCTGGTTAGTTGGTCCTGTAGATGGAACCCAAGGCCTTGTGCCAGCTAGGCACCTGCTTTTCTGCTGAGCTACCCACAGCTGTGTAGACAAGAAGAGACTTCAGAAGCACGCCTTCTGGAACTCCCCCGAGACTGAGGGATTGTGGCCACAAGAGCACTACCGTTCTGCCTGATTTAGTCATTTATCAATCTTACCGTCCTGGCTCCTGAGAGCATCTGAGCTTTGCTACCTTGCCTTAAAGGTGAAACAGAACACTCCTGCCCTAAGGTGGCATACAACTATAGAACTAACTGTGAAAGCCAAAATCACACAGTTGAGTTTCAAAGTCAGTAGGAAACTGCGCTCACCAGATCACAGCTGACCCAGGAGGTGGAGGAAGAGTCCCCTCCGACGCGAGCCCTGCCTGACAAAGTGACTTCCAAGCCAGCTTCTGCTTCAAGACGACTTTTGTCATGATGGTTTTCGGTTTTTGAAGACAGGGTTTCCCTGTGTAGCTATGGCTATCCTAGAACTTGCTCTGTAAACCAGGCTGGCCTTGAACTCAGAAATCTGCCTGCCTCTGCCTCCTGAGTGCTGAGATTAGAGGTATGGGTCACCATGCCCCACATCAAAGCATTTTTAAAAATAGAAAGGTGATGATTAAGCCACGAACTTTAAAAACGTTCAGCAAAACATATAAAATCCCTTTAGAAGTTATCAGTGTATGGAGAAATGAATGTAATTATGACTTATTTACTACCTTGTAGTTTAAAACATTAGAAGCATTCTGAGTTGGGGCTGGAGAGATGGGTCAGCAGGGAGGAGCCCTGGCTGCACTTCCAGAGGACCTGGGTTTGATTCCCAGTGCCCAATGGTGGTTTATAATCGTCTGAAACTCAAGGGGATCCAGCACCCTTTTCTGGGCCTCTCGGAGCACAGGCATGAATATGGTGTACAGGCATACATTTAGACAAAACACCCATACATATAGAATAATTTTTTAAAAATTCAGTTCAGTTGGTCAAGACTAGGGTAGACGCTGCTTGCCTTCTCTACATAATCTGCCACATAGCAAGCATCTTTTCTGTGTCTGGGCAAACTACCATTCTCTTTTCTTTAAAAAAAATATTATTTTGTGGGAATGGGGTTCCCATTTGTTATGCGTGCTTAGGGAGGGCGGAGAATAACTTTCCTCAGGAGTCTGAGCTCCTACCCTCTGGGAACCAGGAATGCCATCCAGATTGTCAAGCTCAGCAGCCGGTGCCTCTGCCAACTGCACTGAAGGTTTGTGTGTTTAGACATTCATCCATCCATTCATTCTTTTTGGCATTTTGAGACAGGCTTAGTGTGTAGTTCCACCTGACCTTGAACTCACACTCCTCCTGCCTTGGCCTCCAGCACGCTGAGACTATAGGTGTGCACCAAAACACCTACTTTGAGTTTGTAAGTTAAGGATTTTCCTCTGAAATGTCTTTCTCTTCTCCTTATTGGTAGCTGTAGGTTTAGCTTCCTCTGATTTTATGTCCAGTCTCTCCCGTGAGGGGCAGAGTCAACCTTGTGGTCAACCAAGACTACTGGAACCCCACAGGTGTTGGGGTCAAAGGCTGCCTTGGGGCCTTGTGTCTCTGTGGTTCCACTTTCCCACTTTCACTTTTGCTGGCCTACTTCCTGTCTTTAGTTTTGAGGGTTTTTTTTTTTTTTAAATCTTTTGTTTCTTCTTTGAAATTTTTTACATGTATACACTGGTCATATCCACCCCCAACTCCCCTTCAGATTTCCCCCAGGCTTGACATATCTTCTTCCCACCTTCGGGTCCTCAACATGCTTTGCTTTCCTGGTTGTCACCCACTGAGTGACGATGGGATGTTGGTTGTCGTCGCTGGTGTGACCTTGTGTGGGCCTTGTGCAGCTCACCATAGCTGCAGAGCTCACGAGTGGAAGAGCCGTGTGGTACCTAGAAGACAGTATTTCACAGCATTCTCCCCATCCTCTCCTCGGGCAATGTCCCTGAGCTTTGGAGGTGTGTGTCCCCTTAGAGCTGGACTCAACAGTCACTCTTTGCAGTACTTTGGCCAGTTCTGAATCTCTGTATTAATGGCCACCCACCACGGAAGAGGCGTCCCTGGCTGACATTGAGCCTGCTTCCTCTTTAACAATGAAGACAGGAGACGGCAACGCCATGCCCTTTGCTGTATAGTCAGGGATGCAGAGACCAGTCACCACCAGAGGCTCCTGCCATAGTCACAAGGCACATCTGCTGCTTCTGAGGAGCAGAAGGGAA